ACCCTATATAGAAAACGCAAAAGAAGTTTATTATACTTATATACATCCGCATGCAGCAGCAGCAGCAGCAGCAGCAGCAGCAGGACACAAACCCCACCACCGCTACGGCAGAGAAGCTGCACAGACACCCCAGCCCATGCCCCCCCGCCCCTTCGACCTGGAGAAGAGAAGAAAACAGTGATTTGCTGCTGCTGCTGCTGCTGCTGCAGCAGCAGCAGCAGCAGCAGAAGCAGCAGTTGCTGTCGTTGCTGCTGCTGCAGCTCGGGTAGCTGCAGGGGCGCATGCGTGAAGGGGCTGCTGCAGTCGCAGCTGCAGCAGCTACGGCATCTCCAGCAGCAGCAGCAGCAGCAGCAACTGCTGCAGCAGCAACAGCAACTGCTGTAGCAACAGCAGCAAGTGCAGCAACTGCAGCAGCAGCAGCATCAAGTAGATGCAGAGCTGCTGCTGCAGTTTGGGGTGTATGTACANTGCAGCAACTGCAGCAGCAGCAGCATCAAGTAGATGCAGAGCTGCTGCTGCAGTTTGGGGTGTATGTACACCTGCTGCGCATCATCTCTCTCCTGCTGCGAGAGCAGCAGCCTTCCTGTGTCTGCTGCTGCAGCAGCAACTGCTGCTGCAGCAACTGCTGCTGCAGCGACAGTTGCAGCTGCTGCTGCAGCAGCAACAGTTGCAGCAGCTGCAGCAGCAGCAACAGCTGCAGCAGCAACAGAAGCAACAGCAACTGCTGCAGCAACAGCAGCGTTGCGGGCCTTCTCTCTTTCTGTGCTGCAGCAGCAGCAGCAGCAGCAGCTGCTGCTGCTGCTGCTACCAATTTACATCTCATCCACCTACAGCCAGCCTGTCGCTGCTGCTTCTGCAGCAGCAGCTGCAGCAGCAACTGCAGCAGCAACTGCAGCAGCAGCAGCAGCTGCAGCAGCAGCAGCAAAACGTTTTTCCCTTTCACAACTACAGCTGTGCTCACTTAAACCTCAGGAAGCAGATGCGCAGCAACAGTAGCAGCAGCAGCAGCAGAAGCAGCAGCAACAACAGCAGCAGCAGCAGCAGCAGCAGCAACATTAGCAGCACCGCCTGCCCCTCATGAGCTCTTCAGTGGGTGCCTGGGCATCCCTAGTTAGCTAGCTAGTTAGCTAGCTGCCTATATAGCTGGCTAGCTAGCTAGCTGCTTATATAGGTGGCTTGCTAGCTAGCGAGCTAGCTGCATAGATAGCTAGCTGCGTAGCTAGCTAGCTAGCTGGCTAGCTAGCTAGCTAGCTAGCTAGCTGTCTAGGTAGCTAGATAGCTCCCCAAGTAGCTAGCTAAGCTGCCTAGGTAGCTAGCTGGATCCCCAATAGCTAGCTATCTCCCTGAGTAGATAGCTAGCCGCTAAACTAGCTAGCTAGCTGTCTGGCTAGCTAGCCAGCTGCCTAGCTAGCTGGCTAGCTGGCTATAGCTAGCTCGCTAGCTAGCTAACTAACTAACTAGCTAGCTGGCTAGCTGGCTAGCTAGCTAGCTAACTAACTAGATAGCTAGCTAGCTAGCTAGCTAACTAGATAGCTAGCTAGCTAGCTAGCCAGTTTGTTTGTTGATGGGTTTGTGGATGGCAGAGATATTAACAAGAAGAGTCTATGAAGCGTGAGCTGTACAGACACCTCACGCTGCTGCAGCANGATGGCAGAGATATTAACAAGAAGAGTCTATGAAGCGTGAGCTGTACAGACACCTCACGCTGCTGCAGCAGATTGCTGCTGCAGCATATTGCTGCTGCAGCAAGCTGCTGCGGCGGCAGGTTGCTGCTGCTGCAGCAGGTTGCTGCTGCTGCAGTAGGTTGCAGCTGCTGCAGCAGATTGCTGCTGCAGCAAGTTGCTGGTGCAGCATGTTGCTGCTGCTGCTGTAGGGTGGTGCTGCAGCACGTTGCTGCTGCTGCAGCACGTTGCTGCTGCAGCACGTTGCTGCTGCAGCACGTTGCTGCTGCAGCACGTTGCTGCTGCAGCAAGTTGCTGCTGCAGAAAGTTGCTGCTGCAGCAGGTTGCTGCTGCTGCAGCACGTTGCTGCTGCTGCTGCAGGTTGCTGCTGCTGCAGCAGGTTGCTGCTGCTGCAGCAGGTTGCTGCAGCAGCAGCAGCTTATTGTTTCGTTTGCTGCTGCTGCTGCTGCTGCAGCAAGTTAATTTTTTTTTCTATGCCGGCTAGCCGTGAGGCTACATCTGCTGCTGCATGCATTGCTGCTTTGCTGCTGTCTTCAACCTGCTGCTGCTGCAGCAGCAGCGTCAACGACCCAGCAACAAAAAAACCAAAAGAGAAATATTTCAGCCGCTGCAGCACGGGGACCCTTCGTTTCTTGCTGCTGCTGCTGCTGCTGCTGCTGCTGCTGCTGCTGCTGTTGCTGCTGCTGTTTTTTGATTGGGGAGCCTTCGCTGGTGCATGCGTTGCTGCTTCTGGTTTTGGTGCTGCTGCTGCTGCTGCTGCTGGTGGTGGCCGTGCTGCTGCTGGTTGTGCTGCTGCTGGCTCTGCTGCTTCTTTCCTTCTAAAGAGAGAAAAGAAACCCCTGCTGCTGCTGCTGCTGTTGCTGCTGCTGCTGCTGCTGCTGCTGCTGCTGCTGCTGGGTTTCGCTCCAGCAGCAGCAATATTTCCTGCTGCTGATTTAAGTGTGTCTTTTGTGTCTTTAGTTGCTGCTGCTACTTTATCTTTTGCTGCTGCTGCTGTTTCTTTTGCTGCTGCTGCTGCTGCTGCTGCTGCTGCTGGCTGCCCCCCCCAGCCACTGAATATACCGAAATGTCTTTGCTGCAGCGTCAGTGCAAGGTGCTGCTGCTGCAGCTTTGCTGCTGCTGCTGCTGTTGCTGCTGCTGCTGCTGCTGCTGCTGCAGTCGGTCCCGCTGGGCCAACAGCAGCAGCAGCAACAGCTGCTGCTGCTGCTGCTGCTGCTGCTGCTGCAGGTGTCTGTACAGCTGAGCGCAGCATGGCGGTGACAAAGAAGAAGAATTTGTGTTTGTTGCTGCTGTTGTCAATCGTTGATGTGCTGCTGCTGCTGCTGCTGCTGCTGCAGCAGCAGCAGCAGCTGTTTGCTGCTGCTGCTGCTGCTGCGAAGGCCGACAGACTCGCAGCCAGGCGCTGCTGCTCCAGCGCATGCACTGCAGCAAACCCTAAACCCTAAACCCTAAACCCTAAACCCTAAACCCTAATTTAGTATTTTAAAATTAATATTTTATAGAACATTATATTTATTATAAAAAGAAAAGGGTTTGCTTAGCGGCTCGCAGCGAGACAGCCGCTAGTCTGTTGATGCACGTGCCAATACAAACCCTAAACCCTAAACCCTAAACCCTAAATTTTGTTTTTCTCTGACAAAACAAAATACAAAAGCGCGGTTTGTGTTTTTGTTTTCGCTTATTTCACGCTGACGACAACAGCCCCCCTGCAGCCTATACCGGCTCGAGGGTTTAGGAATGAGTGTAACATGAGTTAGCGCAGAGTTAGCTCAGGAGCCTATCGACAGCTTTGGCATGCTGCGCGTAAGCG